CCGCGGGGCACCCCGGGCGCGGCGCGCGGGCGCACGGCGGCGGGCGGCGGGCTGCGGGGCGGAGTCAGCGGGACCGGGCCCGGGGCGCGCGGCGGGGCGCAGGGGTCGCTGAGCGCCGGTCGGGCCGGCCGCCGCGGGCAGCCCGAGCAGCAGACCAGGCGAGGGCGGGCGAGCGCCATGGTGCGGCGCCGCGGGCTCCGGCCCATGCCGCCCGCGCCCGCTCCGCGGGGCGGTGGCCACCGCGTCCCCGAGTCGCCCCGCCCGCCGCCCTCCGCGCGCAGCCCGTCCCGCTCCCCGGCCCGGTCTGGGTTCGCGATCTTTAGCGCAGCGGCGGGGGTGTCGATGCGACCCCGTGGCGACTCCCGGAAAGCAGTGCCGCGAGACGCCAAGGCCCTTCCACTGACCCGCGCCTCCGGCGCCGGGCGGAGCACGAGCCCCAGTGAGCAGCTGCCCAGATGAACCCGCGCCCGGGGACAGGGCTCCTACCTGCCGCCCGCTCCCTCGTGCCCGGACGCCAGTTCGGTTACTGCTGGGTCGCGCGAGGTCCTGGAACACCACATCTCCTCCCTGACCGGGGAGGGCCTCGGCGCTCCCGTCTCCGTCCCAGCGCAAGGGCCATCCCTCCGACGCCCGCCTCGTTCGCGGCAGGGCGCGCGGACTTGAGTGAAGCCTATTCGCGCGCCCCTAGCTTAGTGGAGCCCTTTTAACAAAAGAAAGTTGCTTAGAATTTTTTAAAAAAATGATGGAGCTGCACGTTTCAGAATTTCGCTTTCATTGCTCCTGACTGTGCCACTAAAGTTAAACAAGGAAAAAGGCCGGGCGCGTGGTGCTCACGCCTGTCATCCTAGCACTCTGGAGCCGAGGCGGGGAGATTGCTTGAGTCAGGAGTTCAAAACCAGCCTGAGCAGACAAGACCCGACTTACTATAAATAGAAAGAAGAATTAATTGCCATAATTAATAGAAAAAATGAGCCAGGCAGGTGGCACATGCTGTAGTCCAGCTACTGGGAGGCTGAGGCAGGAGGATCGCTGAGCCAGGAGTTTGAGGTTGCTGTGAGCTAGGTGACGCGCCACGGCACTCACTCTAGCCTGGACAGCAAAGCAGACTCTGTTTCAAAAAAACAAAAGAGCCCACAGAGAAGGTGTATTTACTTTCTGGCACAATCATGTTTCCTGGTGGAGGAGGAACCACTGTCCCTAGCAAAATATTAAGGGAATACAAATGTTTTTGTTACATGGACACCATTTATAATGCTTAAGTCAGGACTTTTAGTGTGCCCAGCATGCGAATGGTGTTCATTGTACCCAATAGGTAGGTTTTTACCCTTCCCATCCTCCTCCCGCCCCCTTCTTGATTTCCAATGACTTTTACACCTCTTTATGCCCACATGTGCCAATTGATTCGTTTCCAATTATTAAACAGTACATGTGGTGTTTGTCTTTCCATTCCTGAGATACTTCACTTAGGATAATGGTCTCTGGTTCTATCCAAGTTGCTGTTAAATGACATTTAATTCCTTTTTATGGCTGAGTAGTAAGTACTCCATGGTGTGTGTGTGTGTGTGTGTGTGTGTGTGTGTGTGTATGTGTATATATATATATCATGTTTTCTTAATCCACTCACGAACTAATGGGCACTTGGGTTGACTCCACAGCTTTGCAATTGTGAATTGTGCTGCAATAAACATTCCAGTGCAGGTGTCTTTTAGATAAAATGACTTCTTTTCCTTTGGGTAGATATAGTAGTGGGATGGCTGAGTGCAATGGTAAGTCTACACAGAGAGGCACATTCCATTCTTGATCCAGATCTGAGAATTATTCAGGGCCTGTGGGGCTACTGTCTAGGAATCTGCATTTTGACAAGTCCCTAGGGGATTCTAACACTCATTATGAAAACTAATTCCCTGGGCTGACTCAGGGTATTCCAATCCCCAGAAAGAATATTTATGACAATTATAATTTGCAAGTTTCATAAAACCAGGCCCAGGCATCATCACTTTCCTGTTCTCTGCCACGGGGACGTCCACGCACTGCCCAGGCTTACTGGAGATCCCCGCCCCGCCCTTCAACTTGGCTTCAACCAGCTCTCGCCAGGAAAGCACCAACTTCCTCATTTCTCTCGCTGCCACCAGTTGCATGACTCTGGCCACCAGTTTGTTTCTTAAACAATTACTATAAATTGTTCTTTTGTTTTGCCCTGGTTTTTGATAGAGAAAAAAAACTGGTTATTTTTAAAGCATAAAAGACTGGAAATCATGTGGATTGAACCAAACATAATTCCCTTCCTCCCTCCCTTTTAGACTAGTCCATCAACTACAAAATGAGCATTGCTAGACAGCACAGAGATTTCTACATGTGTTTACAAGTAAAGAACTAGAGCAAAATGAGCTGTGAAGTGAAAATGCACACATCCAACCCTGTTTTCTCCTGCATGCCTGGTAATAGGCCTTCTGGTATTTTCATCAGTAAAACACAGGAACTCCCTTATGAGAAGGCTCTGAGAAGTAGAGAGAATGTGCACGCAAAATGCTCAGTCCAGCACCCAGCACGGAGTGAATGCTCAGCAGGTCTTCGCTGTTGTTACCAGGCTAGCCTGTTTTGTGGGCATGCTTAGAGCTGGAAAAATCTTTTAAACTAACCTATTCAAAATCTGCTTTTCTCTAGATGAAGAAACCAAAGCTCTAGGAGTTAAGAATCTCGTCCAACAGTGCACAGCTACTGGCACAGCCAAAGCAGACACCGATGTCTTTAAAGCACAATCCAATATTCTCTCCACCACTCCATGATGCTGTCTTTCCTACCCCTAACTGAAATGCAGGCCCAAGAAAGCCACAAGGGCCAGAATATGCCAGTCATCTCAAAGGCACAGGCTATGCCCAAGCAGACCGAGAGGAGTAGATGACACAAATAGGAAGCTCTGGTTACCAAGATTGAATCTGTGAGAATAATTTGATTATCACACAGCTGATTGCTCCTATTTTTTTTGCTGGTAGGGAGGGCATTTCTCTCCCGTCTTAGGTGGTTTCTTTTGTTTCTCTTGTGTTCGATCACTTTATTCCAGGAAGTAAATACAACTATTGTGCAGCGTTTAAGGTTTTGTCTGGTGAGAGTTAGCTATGAACATAAAGGCATTGAAAAGATTTAAATTTCTATTCACTTTAAGAGGGTGGGAATCCAAAGACAAGCTACTCTCCTCATTTGGAACATGAAACTGAGTTGTGTGTCAGAAAGAACACTGTCCATATCCTGTCCAAATGTCTGTCCCTCTAGATCACTATAATATTTTTAACTTCAAATTCCCTTTTTTTGAGTATGTGCTTATATATATTTCAGGAGAAGTTGTATATTCTTTCCTACCCAATTATTTCCCAATAATTTTCCACCCATATCTAATTCCAAAACTAAGAATGCCAGTACTTAGTTTTATATGTTACTTGTGAAAAATCAGGATGAGCTGGCAACATCAGGAGCTAAAATGTTGGGAAGATATTTTAGGTTTGTAGTAATAAAAGCATCACGTGAATAAATTTAATGTATATGAATAATCTGCCTTTGAACAGTGCTTCACTTTGAATGGTAGGGATTTTGTTTAAGAATGAAGATGAAAAAAATGTCAGTGTTGGCTTTAACATGAGATTTTATACAAATCATCGCTTACAGTAAATAATGAGATAATGCCAAGGCTCTTTGCTTGATATTGCCTCAAATTCTTTATAGCCACATTGGCATTCTGTCCATGAAACATGAGTACAGCGATGACTTCATTCTCTAGGATGAAGGATAATTGATCTTAACCTTCCTTCCTACCGCTTTCCCTTAACTCAACGCACTAATGCAATTGAAGGCACAGATAAATGGAATTTCTGTAGGGAAAGAATGACATTGTGAAAGCTAACCTCCAAGTTACCCCCAAAAGGTACAATGTACATGTTTCAGGATCTCAACTCATAAATCCTTTGCCCCACAGCTTGGATGGAAAGAGGCCAAAACATTTTTTTGAAGGGAAATTCAAGCTTTGAAGTACATAAAGGTTTTCTTCCTCAGTTGTTAAAGAAAAAAAAAACTAACATTAAACAAAATCCCAACAATTCAAAATAAAGCACTGTTCAAATGCAGATTATTCATTTACATTAAATTTATAAACGTGATGTTTTTATTACTACAAACCTAAAATATCTTCCCAACTTTATCTCCTGATGTTGCCGACTAATCCCAATTTTCCACAAATAACATATAAAACTAAGTGATGGTATTCTAGAAAACTGCATGCCTATAACAAGTCGCTTCTTCACTAAGAGAGTTACCACTCTTATCTATTTTCCTGTTCTTTTTTCTTCCCTCACTAATGATATGTACCATACAGCACCCAAGAATGTACATAGCATTGCATTTTGACCCCAGAATTTTGCCCTATGTTTTCAAATAGGGATTAATGGTGGGATTAAGGCAAAAATTTTACCACATTTTGCCAAATCAGGGTCTAAAGACGGGAGGGAAAGTTATTGGTTGTCATTTTATATGTAATATTTCCCTTTCCAACACAAGTAATACACAACTTGATCTCCTCTTTTGCTTTGCCCTTTTCATGTAAATACGGTAACACCCTCCAGGCAAGGTGGTCTAGAAAACAGACACCCAATGCACACACGTCCACCCAGTGAGCGCTCACACACGCACACACGCACACACATGCACACACGCACACACATGCACACACGCACACACAGATGCACACACGCACAAACGCACACACACATGCACACACGCACACACATGCACACATGCACAGAGAGTGGCCAGACCACAGAGCACATCCAGAAACCCAGAGCGCGGCACCCTGCACGGACACCGTCACCCTGACAACCTTCACGCACGCACACCTGGCTAACTTACGCCCCTGTGTCTCCTCGGCAACCCCGCGGCGGCACCCCATCACCCCATCACCCCATCGCCGCGACGCGCCCGGCTCTCTCCCGCCCGAAGAGCCCGCCCGCGCTCACCGCGCCCGCAGCCGCAGAGGCCGGTCGCGGGGAGGCACCCGGCTCCGCCCGCGCCGTCGGGGCTCCCGCAGAGGTGGTCGCGCCGCCCGCGCAGCCGAGCCCGGCCGGGGGCGCCCGCTCGGGGACGGGCGGCAGCTCCGCCGGCGCAGACTCGGGGCGCCGACGTCCGGGGCGCGGCCTGCTGGCCGCGGGGCAGCCCCGGGCGCGCGGCGCGCGGGCGCACGGGGCGGGGCGGCGGGCGCTGCGGGGCGGGGGTCAGGGGAGCCGGGGCCCGCGGGGGCGCGCGGCGGGCCGGGGCGCAGGGGTCGCTGAGCGCCGGGTCGGGCCGGCCGCCGCGGGCAGCGCCCGAGCAGCAGAGCCAGGGCGAGGCGGGCGAGCGCCATGGTGCGGGCGCGCGGGGCTCCGGCCATGCCGCCGCCCCGGCTCCGCGCGGGGGGGGGTGGGGGGCGGGGCACCGCGTCCCCGAGTGCCGCCCCCGCCCCGCCCCTCCCGCGCGCAGCCCCGTCCCGCTCCCCGGCCCGCGTCCTGGGTTCGCGATCTTTAGCGCAGCGCGGGGGGTGTCGATGCGACCCCCGTGGCGACTCCCGGAAAGCAGTGCCCGCGAGGGACGCCAAGGCCCTTCCACTGACCCGCGCGCTCCGGGGGGCGCCGGGCGGAGCACCGAGCCCCAGTAAGCAGCTGCCCAGATGAATCCCCGGGCCGCCCGGGGACAGGGGCTCCTACCTGCCGCCCCGCGTCCCTCGGTGCCCGGACGCCAGTTGTTCGGTTACTGCTGGGTCCGGCGAGGTCCTGGAACACCACATCTCCTCCCTGACCGGGGAGGACCTCGGCGCTCCCGTCTCCGTCCCAGCGCAAGGGCCATCTCCCGACGCCCCGCCTCGTTCGCGGCAGGGCGCGCGGACTTGAGTGAAGCCTATTCGCGCGCCCCTAGCTTAGTGGAGCCCTTTTAACAAAAGAAAGTTGGCTTAGAATTTTTTAAAAAAAATGAGTGGAGCTGCACGTTTCAGAATTTCGCCTTTCAATTGCTCCTGACTGTGCCACTAAAGTTAAACAAGGAAAAAAGGCCGGGCGCGGTGGCTCACGCCTGTCATCCTAGCACTCTGGGAGGCCCAGGCGGGAGGATTGCTTGAGGTCAGGAGTTCAAAACCAGCCTGAGCAAGACAAGACCCGACTCTACTATAAATAGAAAGAAATTAATTGGCCAACTAATATATATAAAAAAATGAGCCAGGCATGGTGGCACATGCCTGTAGTCCAGCTACTGGGGAGGCTGAGGCAGGAGGATCGCTTGAGCCAGAGTGAGGTTGCTGTGAGCTAGGCTGACGCCACGGCACTCACTCTAGCCTGGACAGCAAAGGCGAGACTCTGTTCAAAAAAACAAAAGAAAGCCCACAGAGAAGGTGGTATTTACTTTCTGGCACAATCATGTTTCCTGGTGAGGAGGAACACTGTCCCCTAGCATCATGTACTCTGAAGAATTTCAAACTTGGACAAAATTTAAATGTTTCTTCTTAAAACCTGGGTTTCCAATTGCAAACGGAATTAATTCCCTACACCTAGCTTTAAATAACTCATCTTTCATTTTTGTGAATCATCTTATTGGCTTGTATTTTTCACTCCTTTCAATGAAATATTTGATTTTACTTCAGAGAGAGTTGAGTAAAAGGAATGGTATTTATTCGAGATGTTTTTATTCCAGAGGCTTTTACCGCCTTTTGTTTTTTTTACTGATACTTTCCTGGTTCCAAAAACATAGTTAAAAACTGTAGTTGGGAGCACTCTGGGAGGCCAAGGTGGGAGGATTGCTTGAGGTTGGGAGTTCAAGAGCAGCCTAAGAAAGAGTGAGACCCACCCTACTCAGTAAAAAAATAGAAAAACGAGCTGGGCACGGTGGCCCATGCCCTGTAGTCCATCTACTCGGGAGGCTGAGGCAGGAAGATCACTTGAGCCCAGGAGGTTGAGGTTGCAGTGAGCTATGACGACGACACTGCTTGTTAGCCAGGGCAGCAGAGCCAGACTCTGTCTCAAACAACAAAACAAAAAAAAAGCCCAAAACAACACACAAAACCTGTACTTGTGAGAGAGAATAAAAGATGAAACACCTACGTGGGGCAGGCTATTTGCTTATGTTCCTAGGGTTGGCAGAGTTCAGCAGTCAAGCAGCCTCTTGAAAGTCCCGGTGACAGTGTCATCGCAGGCAGCCCTTTTCCTTAGAGTGCTCCTCCCACCTCAGGCTGCACACTCGAAGACGGCCGGGCGGGCTCATCTTGGGGTGGTGGCTGGCTTGCTCGGCCCCATCCCGCCCTTGCACGCAAGCCTCCCACACTGCTTGCACGCTGCCTGCGGACAGACGCAATGTTCACACCTTACAGAGAGGGAAACGATGGGCCGGAAGTGAACGAAAGAGAAGATTGTTGGAAGTGAGCTCGGAGAGACAAGGGCATGGCCAGCGGTCGGCCTCCTCGGTGGGCCTCCCCGCATTGAAGAGGAACTGAAGGTTCTCCAAGGCCTCCCTAAACCCGACTGATGAGACGGTGGATATGTACATAGTGGAGCTACCCACAGAAAATTCCACATCTGGATTTTTTTTTTCTTTTTTTTGAGACAGAGTCTCGCTTTGTTGCCCAGGCTAGAGTGAGTGCCGTGGCGTCAGCCTAGCTCACAGCAACCTCAATCTCCTGGGCTCAAGCGATCCTCCTGCCTCAGCCTCCAGAGTGGTTGGGACTACAGGCATGCACCACCATGCCTGGCTGATTTTTTTTTTCTATATATATTAGTTGGCCAATTAATTTCTTTCTATCCATAGTACAGACAGGGTCTTGCTCTTGCTCAGGCTGGTTTTGAACTCCTGACCTCCAGCAATCCTCCCGCCTTGGCCTCCCAGAGTACTAGGATTATAGGCGTGAGCCACCGCTCCCTGCCTATCATTTACATTTTAAAATATACCTTTCTTAGAAAATAAAGTGGCATTTATGTAAGTAAATTATGGATTTGAGGGCCTCAGCTAGGGTTTTGCCTTCTATTTGGAAGGCAAAGTGTGATTTACATGGATCTGTTCTTCACATATGACCCCTTCTCTGCTAATGTTTTCCCTTCCTCTCTCTTTTCAGTCCTCCTGGCTGCTACCACCATGCAGATGCATGCACCATGCATTGCAGTTCCCAGTTCAATCCCTGAAATGCATTGTCCCCACCACCCATCACACCACAGTGGGAAGGGAAGCAGGGAGGGAGGTTTGCAGGAAGAAACCCTGTCCTTCTACTCTCTGAGGCCACCACCTGGTCACAGCTCCCTCCTCTGACTCTCTTGAGCCTCTGTCAAGATGCCAAAGCTGAAGGAGGAGGCAGTTCCGTATTGTCACCCTTCGGGAACCCACAACCCATCCTCTGCCGTCCCTTCCCCTGAGCAGCAAGCAAGGAGCAGCGAGGAAAGGGAACAGAAAGAACTGACACCTTGCAGGCATCCCCACCACAGCACTGGGGAGTCCCCCAGATCCCCACTGGTCACCCCAGTCACCTCTGACTCCTTTAAGCAAAAGCAAACTCGCTGGGTCGGGGGAAGGGTTCCGTTCCCTCTGGCCTCTCAGCCCTCCCTGCTGAGGCCAGACCCAGACCTTGCTGGGAGGCCAGGGGAGGGGAGAGGGGTCTCCCTGCCCCCAGGCAGCAGGCAGGGTGGGCAGGCTTGGGGGGTGCACACACCTGCACATGTGTCCCATGGCAACTGTGTCACAAATGAGCATTTGCTTTGACAGTGGTTTAGAGGATCCTTTTACTTCACAGAAGGGATGGGCTGAATAGCTCTGGTGCAGTTTCATTTGGAACCGTAGCCAATATGTATATTATTTTTACAGAATTCCAAAAATCAATATACGAAATAACTTTTAGAAAAGGCCCATTTACAATTTAGATACTGCCCGTATTTGGAAAAGCAAAGAGCTTTTAAACAGATGGCATGAAAGCAGTATTTACTTGTATAACTCTGATGGCAAAAAATGTGTTAAAAGAACACTGAACAGTGCTCTTTCACATCAAAGGGGGAAAAAATATCAAAGAATAGGAGGGCCTGTCTGGGATCTGTAGGAGATCCAAAATTATAAGACATTGTCGGGCCTTTAGAGGGCTGAAAGACAAGTAAATGACAATATATTATTTAATTTAAAATTCAAGAAACTAAGAGAAAGATCCAGACAATAAGTGATGAATTGCTACATTAATGGCATAGTGATTCAGGGTCAGAAGTCCCCTGTTAGCAGGCGGCCCCTGGCAGTTGAGGTGAAGTTTATACTTCTGTATATACTATATACTTCTATATATACTTCTGTATATACTAATACTTGTATTAGTAACACTCTACTCTGCCCTCCCTGAGCTGTGAAGAGGTCTGAGAACCAGTGATCACAGCTTCAGCAATCCTATTAGGCTGTCAACCTTCTAGATGGTGTCCAAGAGAAAAAGAAAAGCTCTAGTGACTCACTGTGTCCATAATGCCCTTAGTGTCACTTGCTCTCTATTTTTCTTATTGTTTAAGGTTGAAATGTATGAAATGGAACAAAATACTTTTTTAGTTTGAATTTGCTTTTTAAAATTCCTCTAAACTTGATATAATTAATATGTGGAAATTAGTTCTACAGACTCATATTCAGGGTTGCCCAAATTCTATATACTAATAGGTGAGGAATATATATATATATGATATATATATATATATATATATGAATATATGGTTCTAAAATCATGTTGGCTTCAGAATAAACTGTGCTCAATCTGACTCTAGCCTTTAATCCCTGGGGTATGTCGAGGGAAAAAAGCCAAACTATGTAAAATAATTTTGAAGAGATTTATTCTGAGCCAGATTTGAGGACCATGACCCAGAGCCACTGCCAAGAGGCCTTGGGCAAGTAGACTCGCTCTGGCTGGGTTACAGTTCAGTTTTATACATTTTCAGAGAGACAAAATTTACAGGCAAGGACACAAATCAATACATGAGAGGCATACATTGGTTTAGCCCAAAAAGGTGGGACATCTCGAAGCGGGGGCTTACAGGTTATAGGTGGGTTTAAAGATTCTTTGGCTGGCAATTGGCTTAGAGAGTTAGACTTTATCTAGAAGACCAGGATATGCTTACTTTAAGATAAGGGTATGAGCATTCTGGGAGGTCCAGACAGGAGGACATTTTAAATTTACAATAGGCTCCTGCTAGGATGCTTGAGTTAAGATATTTTAAATTTATGATAGGCATCTGCTAGGATGCTTGAGTTAAGACAGGGGCTTCCTATCTTTTAGGTGATGTTAATGCCATACCAGAATCAGTTTGGGAAGTAAACCACCGCTTTATTTGGTTAACAAAAGCCGCTCAGTAGGAATTTACCATTTGTCAGCCTGACCCAGCTGGCCTCCTTAGGAAAGAGTTT